GCTCGCTTCCGGCGGCAAAGGTCAGTTTGAACACTGCAGAGCTGTTGGAAAGCGAGTCCACCATGGACGAAGCCATGTAGTAGGTCGGACAGTTGATGATAAAGTCCCCGAACCAGGTCTGCCGCTGGTAGAAGGTGCTGTTGAAGTCGCTGCGAGGGTAGAGCGAGTAGAGACGCGAGAAGAATGATGGTCCGGCAGAGGAAAAGAGATCTTTGGCCTATTATTTCGAGGTATATCGTCAGCAGCTAGACAGAAACACAAATGACTTGGCCGACTGAAGCTCACATCTATCGTTTCATCCACCTGAGACGTCTGGGTCATGTTCGAGAAGGTGTATCCTTCAAAAGCGTCGCGGTTGGTGATCAAGGGCACCTTGTAGAAGTTGCCCTTTGCGAATTCTTGGTCGGGCAGGTCGCGGATGAACTTCCCATCCACCACCGGGCCCCAGTAGTAGACACCATATGCATTGTCGGGCCCCGGGTACGTTGAATTTATCACTGCCTGGTTCAGGTTTCCTAGCGTAGTAGAAGACAGTCCTCGAAGGCAATCGATGTCCGTGCAGTTTGACAGCTTCAGAGCCGTATTGAATTGGGTGTTCTGGATGCTCTTGTTGGCAAAGGGTTGCCACCAGGGATGATCTGCAATTGCGGCCGCGAAAGGAGGGAAATCGGAACCACTGTTGGCGATGAGCTGGCATGATACACTACCTCCACCTGCCGAGCCTCCCCAAATGGTGACACGCCCTGGATCACCACCAAAGGCACGGATGTTCCGCTGGACCCAGTCCATGGCAGCTCGCTGATCAAGCAGGCCGGCGTTCAACGCTCCATTCTCAGCAATGGCGTCTCCGCCCATGAATCCGAACATTCCCAGACGATATTGAATCCCCACGAAGATGATGTTGCCGTCAGACCGATTGACCAGGGCATCTCCTGGATAAGAGAACGGAGCGCTGCCCCCAACGTAGCCACCACCATGTATGCTAATTTGGCGTATTCAGTGTTAAAGTTTGTATAGGAGCGCAGGGGGGAATATTTTGGACCTCTTCCAAGTCTGGCATACCTCTAGAGATAGCCTGGCATGCTCTAATTGTGGATAGGTGGTTCAAAGAGATACTACTTACGTAAAGAGTACAGGTAAGGCTGTTGAGACAGGCTTGGACGGCACGAGCACGTCGAGGAGCAGACAATCCTCTGACTGCCCCTGTGGAGCTGAAGGAGTAGTATAAGTAGACCTCGCAGACGACTGATAGCATGCCGGGCCAAGGGTCGAAGCATTGATGGTCTGGCCGTTATAGTTGTTCATAGACTCAATTGGCACAGGTTTCGCCCAGCGCAGTTCACCTGTAGGGGCGGCAGCATAACGGATGCCACGGTAGTAGTTGATGCCTGCGGTGGCATTCTGATGGCCACTGTATTTCACATACCCGAGATCGATGACAGGGACGTTTGAGGAAGAATTCTGTGCCTTTGTAAAAGCGCTGAGGAGAAGCAAAGCCACAGCTCCAAAAGCTCCGACGACAGGGGATTTCATGACTGGTCGCTATGAACTCACGTCTAGGTCAACCTTTTAGATAGGCCAGAAAATGTAGGAGCACCGTGTAGACGAAAATCGCCCCTCTCCTTCAAAGTCACCGTTTTATGTGGTGTCAGAACTCGAGCTTCAGGCGGAATTCGTCGAAGTCACGGCATTATTCTCCACCGACCTTCCACCAGCCCGTCCTGCAGGTCAAGTCACCAGATACATTTTTCCCATCATGGAGATCCAAAGTTTGCGGTTCCTCGCAAATGAAGTGTACAAGGATGGTGCCGCCGGAAACGAAATGGGGAAATTCTGGGGTAACGCATTGACCTCATAGTCGGAATATGGCCGGACGAAGCCGTCATTGGAGGGTGCAAGAGGAGTAACAAAGCCAGGCCAATTCTGCCTAATTCACAAGATTCATGGCATTGGTGCCAGCCTCATTGCTCAGGATCGACCGGGAAGCGGCATTTGGTAGACTTGGATTGAAAGGGCATAAGATGGTTCCTCGTACACCGCTCGGTTATTGTTCCACATCAGCGAGAGGGGTCTCGCCCGGCTGTGGGAGGTGAGATCCATATCCTTTTGTACTAGATGTCAGGATATATTGTCCTGTTGTCCTTTGTCCCCCGAAATCAAGTGTTGTGGCATATTTAGGTGAGGTCGGGGTAGGGTGGGGTTCACTTGACCTTCAGATGTTGAAGTGACATCACGAAGGGCCGGTATTGGCCCATGAAGGCTAGACAACAATGAAAAGAGATGGCATTGGATAGATAATGACTTGATGGTGGGTAATAATGATAGTTAGATTTACAGGTAACTTGTCTCGTCGGGGGCTTGATGCCTGGAGACGTGGAACAACATTAATCCGCGACTCTCCCACATCTGGCAAGTCGGCCGACCGATTTCGCGGTGGTGACTCTGACTCTTGATCACCTGCACTGAACTGACAACATGCCCTTATCAACGATTATTCAGATTGCAGAACCCCCCCTGCGCCAACTCAAGCAAAACCAGATTTCGAGTGCTTCTTTCTCCTCTCTTACGTACTCGTGGCCACTATCGCTCTCCAAACCGTCGGCTCGAAACCCCCTACACACATTCGCCTCCCCCACCTCCCGCATGAACCAACGTGCCAACCTCCGAAATCCCGAGGGTTGCGCACTATTTTGCTTCTGATGCCTGCAAGAGGTCAGTGTATGGGGTTTGCAAGAGTAAAGGCAGATTTCTTGTTGCAAGTTTACCTTTGAAATGGGCCGAACCACATTATGACAGCGGCTGCCTCTACTCATAGCTGTGCCTTCACCACCGGTGCCTTGACGAGACCGAGTGTAAGATTGCCCTGCTTGTCCAGCCATTCGACAAGGCGGCGATCCGGTTGTTGAGTCTCAACATGAACCCTCAATGCCGTCCATGGATCCGCTCGAATCGGCAATTCCAGGTATGCGGTCAGTGGCGCGTGTTCTTGTGTTTCTTTTGCTGCAAACAATGTTAGCCACAGGGTCAGTCCTTGATGGTGTGCATACCCTCGTCACAACCCATGTGGCCGGGCATCTTTTATGCACTCAGAGTGGAAGGTTTTGAGGCGCCTCTCCCAGGACTGGACTGGTACTGGCCGTGGCTTGCAACTTGATGATATGTGTATCACCAACAAAAGCTTGTGCGATTTCTACCTGTTCCGTCCTAATATTTCTTTTTGACTGAAAACAGCAGGAAAAAAGTGTAAGCACCTCGACAGCACGGGTCTTGACCGACTAATATGTGTTTCACGACATTGGCCATTCATCTCATCTTCATGTCGGGCGCGGTGGCAGGGCTCACCTCACCGGAATTGTTTCGCCACTCCAATCGACGACAGAGCCAGCAGCACTCATTGGACACACGAGATTGGCCGGGTGGGTATGGTGAACACCGCCTGAGGTGCAAAATATCCTCATCATTTGACCTGCAGCGGTAAGTCGTCAACGTGGCGAGGTGTCGACCAAACACGCGCTGGTGGACTCAAGCGCCTCCTGGGTACAATCAGCAACAGCAATAGCAGAATGATATCAAACCGGTGGACGCGACGTATTCGGTCGTGCTGATCCATTGAAAACTCCTGGTCTCAGGCACTTCGGGAGGCTGCATAATTTTGACTGCCTGAAGTGATGCTGCAAGAGGAATGACAACGTTCATAAGAAATTGACCCAAAGATGACAATGACAACGAATTCTAGTGATTTGATCAGGGAGTCCAAGCGAGTTGTGGTTCAAAAACCAGGTTCAGAGATGGTTTGTTCATGCACAGCTGCGGATAAGGCACACACAAGTGACCAATTCCACCTCATGCTCGTTGGGCCACGTCTCCGCAGGCTGAACAGCTGACCTCTTCGGACTGAGAAACCCCTCCCCCCGACAGAGCCTCAGTCACGTGGTGTGCAGCTCACAACTTGTCGCAACCACAAGGCGATATACTCATCCTGGAGAAGACTGGCAAGCGCGAGAAGGGTGGAGGAGTTGGTATGCGTCTATATCCGGCGGCCCGAGTGACGACAGATAGACGACGAACCCTGGACGAACCGTGCTGTCAGATGAGTCACAGGGAGAGGGTGACGAAGCGCTTCATGTCTGGGCATGCCACACAGTAGGCCTTGATCGGCCGTCATGACTCTACGAACCGGACCGATCCAGAAGCTATCGATACAGGTAGGGATTCAGCTCCCATGTCAGTGGTCTGTTTCTTCAGACATTCCACTCCACTCATTTCGACCCGAAGCGACCATATTACATTGAAAACAAGGACCTAAGTTGCGGTATCGTGGATGTCCCGCATGGCACAGGCACAGGCACAGACACGGACAGAGGGCCAGATCTCACCCATCACCAGGGGTCTCTTTCGCTGGGATCTAGTTGACGCGGTGCTTGAGTAGCAGTGTCAGTGTCTACCAGGCAATGCAGCGACCATCGCAGTCTTTTACTCGTCGGGTGAAGGACTACAAAGCGTCTCGCTCTCTCTCAGAAGAAGGAGTGGACAGGGAGGGAGTGGCGAATGGGGTTTCTTTTCAGGACAGTACACTAGTATCTCAAGATGCTGCATTTGCTACTTTACTCGTACACCACAGTGACCACATCAATGTGATAGTCAGTCGGAAGGCCCGAGGCCTTTTTTGTTACCCATCTTGCCAACCCGATGCGTCGCGGCGTTGATGGCCTGGCATGCGCCCCGAAACCGTATGAACCGGATAACGAATGAAATGAACTTCGATATTGTCCGCGAGATTGATTGACATGGCTCTTCCGCGTAAAGTCAACCTGGCACTCATGAATTCCAAGCACCAGAGGAGATTGATCGTCCCGGATCGAGTTACACACACAGCTCGACAGGGACAGCCCCCACCCGACCTGCTAAGTGAGTTGCCAAGTTGCTGAATGGCTGCAGTAGCTGCAGTAGCTGTGTAGCCAGGGCTGGGGCTGAGGCTGAGGCTGAGGCTGAGCTCCTGCTCAAGTCCCCGTTGAAAAGACCTGCTTCACGAGCATTTTCTTGTTGATTTTGCCCATGGCGTTGCGCGGAATGTGCTCGACGACCTTCAACTCCTGTGGAATCTTGTAATTGGCCAATCTATCCTTGAGGGCCCTGCGCATGTCCATGGCCCCCCATTGCTTGCCGCCCCGGCCGCCGCTCTTCCCTGTGTCACTCAGAACCACGACCGCGGCGACCTTTTGGCCCCATTGTTCGCTAGGGAGTCCGACCACGGCAGCTTCGGCGATGTCTGGTAGCGAGAGGAGTTCTCGTTCGATTTCTAGTGCAGAAACTTTCTCGCCGCCCGTTTTGATAATGTCGATGGATTTGCGGCCACGGATGAAGTACATGGGTCCACGAGCCCAGGATTGCTCGGGCGATGTTCCTGTTCCGGGGACGAGTGTGCGGATCGCCACGTCGCCTGTCTTGAACCAATTGCCTTTGCCGTCTTCAGACTCTACAAACTCTGCCGCTGTGGCAGTGGGGTTGCGGAAGTACTCCTTGAACACTGTAGGGCCACGGAGCTGGATTTCCCCTTCTCGCGGCTGGCCCCTTTCGTCCATTTCTTCGCCGGGCGTTATGACCGTGTCTGTCTCAGTGTCAACGAGCCGTATCTCGACTCCTGGCAATGGCCACCCAACTGAACCGTCTACACGGTCCTCAAACGCCAGTCCACAAGATAGCGCCATGCCGACCTCGGTCATCCCGTAGCGCTCGAGAAGGGCATTGCCGCCAGAAAGCTCCGCCCAAGCCTTTTTGGTCGGTGTAGGAAGGGCTGCAGAGCCGGAAATATTCAATCGAAGGTTACGAGGGTTGATCGCCGTGCGTGTTGCGGTCTGCATTTCTGGGGAAAGAGAGGAGTGAGTTGCCAGTAGTCGGTTGTATATCGTCGGGACACAGGTAAGGAAAGTTATCGGCCTTTTCCTTTCGTCTGTCGAGAGAGAGGAAGGGTCGGGGAGAAATGGTGCAGCCAGACGCTTCCACACAGTCTCTGCGTTGAACGGGTACGCAAATTCGATCGCCGAGCCAGCCATCAGAGGGGTATACAAGGCGTTGATTGTCCCATGAATATGATGTAGTGGGAGAACGTGGAGGAGCAGGTCTGAGGGAGTGTATTTCCATGCTTCGATCAGAGAACTGGCTTGTGCCGCCATGTTTGCGGCAGACAGCACCACGCCCTTGGGACGACTGGTGGTTCCGGAGGTGTAGAGCATGAACCCGCCATTCTCAATAGTGTCGGAGTCATCTAACTTGACATGTTCGGCGGAGAACGCGGCCCCGGTCTCAATCTTGGAGAGGATCTCCAGTCTTGGGACATGGTCGAGTCCTTCTTTCACCACCTCTTGTGCCTTGTGTGAGAATTTCTCCGTCGAGAGGAACAGGGCGGCCTCGCTGTTCTCGAGGATGTACCGCAGCTCGGAGCTGGGATGGGTATGTGCCAAGGGGAGGGCGATTGCATCGTGCGCGAGGATCGCGAGGAACGTCACTGTTTAGAACAATGTCTTCGTCAGCATTCTGCAGCTGCAGCTGCACAACAAGGGAATTTCCCAGGGCACTGGCTCTGGTCTGGTATGGTCGCGCACCCACATAGTCATAACCGTTTTCCGCCAGAAAAGCGATCCTCTCCCCAGCCAGAGGGGATTTTCTTCCTGCGGCAGAGAGAGCGGCAATTCTGTCCTTTGCGGCAGCAACATCGTGTAGGAGACTGCCGTAGCTGAAGGTCCGGGTTGAGGCACTGTGTATTATCGCAGGGGATTCCGGGTCATGGCTCGCAATGGCTGCGAAGATCGGGGATGAGGGGAGAGCGGACGACGAGGTCGATGACGACAACGCCCTCCCGACAGAAAATCCTAGGGGATTCTGGCATAGCGTAGAGGTGAATGCGAAGGGGTTTGGGAGCGCTGGCCGGGGCCGCGACAATCCTGATCCAGCTCCTGCTCCTATACGGCCAGCAGCCCTGCAGAGCTGAGTGGTCGCCGCAGTGAAGAAGCGACAGGTCGGAGGGGTAGCGACCATCCCGCAACCATTGTCGATTGTTCCCTCGCTCACACGAAAATATCAGGCTTGAGCAACGGTGTTCGAACTGACCAAAGACGAGCAGTGGAAGAAGAACTATGAATCGTGTTGACAGAGAGATGATGTATTAGAAAATGCTAAAGCTCAAAATTGCATGTGTTACTCCGCATTGACCCGCAGGACTCAAATTTCTCATGGCCGAAGCCCTGTGCCTCATGACCCTCGTGTGCCTCGTCAATACTGTTCTTCTGTGGACCGCATACGACCTTTCAATTCCAGCACATGGCTCCCTTCATCACATCTCATCCACGATCTCGAATTTGACAAGAATCGAGCATCTGGTCTCCCTTCCCTTCAAGTCCAGCATGCGGATAAAATTCCAGCCTGGAGCTACGTACAGCAACCTCACCGCAGCCACAGCAAAGATGGGGTTGATGGCAAAACTGTCATCGCTCTTGATGAGCATGCGGAGGAACACTAGCTCGTTGTCGTCATAGTCCCATAGCAGTGTCTCGTCCCAGATAGGATCTGTGGGCGGAGGATTCTCACCTCTATGCAGCAGCCCGAGTTTGTGTTGCCTGTAATGTGCCGTCTTGCGCTTTGGCGCGTCATCCTCATCGATGTCAGGGTGGTAGAGCTTGCAGGTCAAGTATGGCTTGATCTCGCCAGGTTCTCGCCCTTCTGGTACGGGTATATCTGTGGCTCCTGCAACATGCAGGCGGAGCATCTTCCTCTTCCCGGTGTTGAGTCGGCCAGATCCGCCGGCCCGCAAAGCCGCTGGCTTCAAAACATATCCATCTGTGCCGCTGAATAGTGCTTCATTCAGCTGTATGCTAGCCCCGAATGTCTGCCAGTTGAGGGCACACACTTGCGCTCCGATACCCCAGAACTGCACCGGCTTGAGGTTTCGGGACGAGATCCGCGTCCCTTTGGGATACACCCGCATTAGATGTCGGGCGTTGTGGCAAGCAATTTTGTCGTTCTCGGCGGGCATATGGTCCTTTAGACCACTCTCGGAGACATTGATGAGGTGATGATGAGGTCCGTCCTTGAGTCCGGCTTCACCATACCAAGAATTGTCGCGCGGTTTCACTGATTGAGCGTACACACCTAACTCTGCCAGCTCAGGGATGATGATGGTAGGTGCAGCCTTCTTCTTGTCGTTGTAAGCCTTCTTCGCCTGTCTCGTTTCTTCATCCTCGTCGTCCGAGTTGGAGCTCTCCTCTTCGCTTTTGGGTTCGTTGGGAAAGTGGTATTCGACAATGACGACTATTTTTGACCCAAGCTCTTCGAGTGTCACTTGGTCGTCAGAGCCTTGCTGCTCCTCGTGCCCTTTCTGCCTGACAGCCTTGCTCAGCAGTCGGTCGCCCCATACCTCTTTCATAATCTCGACGAGACGCCGTTGACCATGTGCGTCGCAATGGTTCTCCAAAGATAGGAGGATTGGAGATGCTCTGCAGTCTGGATGAGATGGCGCCTGACGGGCTTCCTCGTCCATGACATCACGAATCGTTTCACATACGGCGCGGAATGAGATATTAGAGACAAGCGTGTAGCCATGCGTGACCTTTGGTTCGTCCTTGTTTTCCTCATCGTCCCACGCATCAATCTCCACGCAGCGCGATCCCGTTCTAAGAGCAGTCCTGTAGGCATCGGCAGAAGAATTGCCGTAAAGCTGGTGAGCCACCAAGTAGGTGTTGTGACTCGAACTGATGAAGTATTCGGACAACGGACGAGACCGATCTGTTATGTACGACGGGACGTCAATATGCGGCTTGTTGAGGAGGGCGTGCAGTGACTCGGTCACTGTGTCTGGGTTGTCTAGAGCGGCCTCTTCCTCTGAGAGAACATGGTGCTTGACCAGGAACGCCCTGAGAGCATGGCTGACTCGGAGTTGATGCTTGGTGATGTTTGTTTCGCGGGAGCCATGACCGCCGCCAGCAACCGTCGAGGCATCAATGACTTCGCCGGCGTCCTCATTGTCGACTTTGCCAGTCTTCTTGGAGAATGGGTTTAGCTTGGCCATGTGTGAAGCAAGGTGCGCTGAAGCTGAATCGGCCATGATGGACAATGTAGCGACGACCTCAACTTGGAGGAACACAGAGTAAATCGACCAGCCGTGGTGTCCAGGGGTTTTGTTCTTTGTGTCAATGTCGCAATACGAGTAGGAGGGGACCAAGTTGACCAGCTTGGCCCACGTCAACAAATAAGCTTCCAGGCGACGCGGCTGAAAGTCTGAGGTGGACAAGAAGGAAGCAAAAGGATGCTCGGCTATCCTGGTTGTATATTAGTCTTGTAAGCAACTTGTTACACGGTCCACACAAGATCTCGTTGTACCCGTATACCTATTTCCCATATCTTGTTTCTGGATCCTGTAGGCGCTTCTGACAACCCTTGCACTAGTTCTTCAAGGGATTTTTTTGGCCCCCAAATGCAGGTCATCAAGTGAGGTCGTAGAATAAGCCTAGCAAACTGCGCTTAGTAATATAATGCCCCAGCGTAGAAATGTCCGTTCATCATCATCTACCTGACCGCAGCGCATCTTGACTGCAATCATCAAAATCCCTCCATCCCTTCAATCTCTGGTGTGCGTGCGCCAGAATCCATCCCCTCAAGAAGCCATCCAGTCAGTGACCAAATGAGGCGCTATGTAACTTCTGGCACCTCGTTTTGCCGTGCAGTATCGAAGAGAAGGATGGCGAGCAGCTCCACCACGCCCGTGGAGGACACGATCCGAAGAAAGGTGAGCTGAGAAGAAGCGGAAGAAAGCCAGGGCGTTTCCGCCCCGTTTCAGGACACGTCTATCTATCTGCCCAGTTCTTGAACATACCCAGTCAATCCGCTGTGATACGGTGTCTAACGTTCGCGACAGGTGACAGAGGCTTTGAACCCCACAAACCTCACCATTCGAAACGACTCACATCTTCATTCCCACCACAAGGCCATGGTAGGCTCGACTTCAAAGGAAACGCACTTCTTGTAAGTGAATGGCCTGTTTGTCTTCGTCGCTTTCCCGGCCACTGGCGCGTGTGCTCTTCACCATGATCTTAGGGTTCTCGGGCGTCACAGCCTCGTGTGACAGGATCGGAGTCATATCATCTCCAGATCCCCTTCTCCTCCTCAAGCTCTGCGGAAACTTCCCCCACATTATGCTTCTTCCAAACTACTAACAAAAAGCCTAGTCTGGACATCACGTCTCCGTCATTCCAAGCGAAGCCGCAACCGGCGCGGCACAGGATGATTTATTCGCTGCTGAAAGAGGAGCTCGATCGCCCCGGCGGGATCCACGCTCTCCAGCTTCGGACCAAGACACCGGAGGAGGTGGAGAGGGAGCTGGCGAGGAAAAAGGACGCACAGGGGGCGGCGTGAGTACTAAACTTGCAGTGCAGACTATGTATGTATATATGGAGGGTCCCAAAGATGTTTGTCTTCTAAGATCCTACGGCACGGCTCTGTATGGATGGTCGAATTCTATACCCCTAGGTCAAGGAGACATCCGCCATACCGGTTGACAGAGACTCGCGCTACATGGCATTCAACCTTGTATCGTGCCGCGACTAAGTGCCGATGTGGTAGACCGTGGAACGAGAAACCGAGCTACCAAACTGAATACACAATCAATCCTGCTACAGCTGCACCTGGGAAGAGGAATGGATCCCACAATACCATCCAAAACAGCTTGAAGGGAATTATTAGCGGGTAGTGTGTGTATCTAATTGGGCGTTCTGATGCTGTACAATGTCAATCCTTGCCAACCAGCCCAAGATCCCCTCCACCACCAAAAGGGATCGAAAACAGACAAAATGAACACTTTTGCGCCGGCTTTTTCTGCGAAAAACATAGGAAATTCTGAAACCTCTCCCTGCCACCTTCCCCTGCCCGCTCTATCGCGCTCTGATCTTCCTCACAATGCGAGTTGTGTCAACTCTCGGGCGATCCAAAAACACACAAAAAGAAAAAGGTACCTTGTGGTCTGCTTCACCAACAATAGATGCTGTCCACCTTTCGTGGACATGAAGTCAAATGTAAGTAAACCTGCAAGAACCAATTGCACCGCGGAGCCGCCAGTTCCACATATGTCACGATTCTCGCCAGCGATTGAACATCGTTTTGTGAGTTCAGGATGGTGGAGGACTGTTATTGCCATTATCCTAATTTTTCGTAACAGTAACAGCCACCGCCACGACCACAACAATAATGATGATAATGAGAACTGGGCGCAAGTTAGCATATTCCCGCAAGCAGAATCCGGCCAACACTCACCGACAATGCCTAAGCACATCCACTTCTTGCGGCGGGCAGCTCGGGCTTTGACGACCGCACCCTCGAGCTCAACATTTGCCTTGGACACATGTTCTGCGACTTGCTCGCCTTGCTCCTCGATCTGGGTGACCGCGGGCTCTTGCTGCACCACCAATGCCTCGAGGTCTTGGAAGAGCTGGGCAAGCTCAATCATCTGTCGTTCAATCTTCTGGATATCTTCGTGACGTTGCGAGACGTTTCGTGCGACAGACTGTGCTTCACCGCGTCGGTCGCTCTGGATCAAGGCAGAAGAAAAGATTTGTTGGTTATTGGGATCTTCAACAGCTTCGCGCACTTCCGCGTCGGAGGCATCGGGGCGGACGATCCGATATTGTCTCGCCATCTGTTCTTGAGACGCTTTCCGGAATTCGCGCTCAACTTGTTGGTACTGATTGATCGCAGTCTTCAGCCTTCGATCAATTTTGCCCACCTGGGGAGCATTGCGCGGGTTCCCGGACTCCGGTTGGTGCTTGATGTTCTTGACGCGGCTGACGAGACCACGGTACTTTGTCATGATTGTTTCTCCCGTCCGATCAACCTCCACGCGCAACGGCGATTGGGCGGATGTATTGGTGTCTGCGAGGTATCGTGCTTGGAGGCCCTTGAGACGCTGTAGATCCGCCTCGATTTCATCGATAGCTTGATCGACAGCCCGGCATTCATTGAGAATCCGGTTCGGGTCGGCGCCGTTCATGTTTCTCATTTCTGAAATGCGTATATTAGCCAGCAGCCACAGAAGGGTATCGTCGAGCTTTGTGTACCGTAACCGCCTTGCCGCTGTTCATCTTGAGCGTAATAGCTGCTCCCTTGTTGCTGGGGCTCGGGGCGTTCACTATAGTTTCCCTGATTGCCATATGCTTCATTGCCATTGCCCCCCTGAGCGTAGGGATTTCCTGCTTGTCCGTAGGGATTGTAGGTGCCATAACCCTGGCCGCCTTGCTGGTAGTTCTAATCGGAGCGATGCGGCAGTCAGCAATAGCTCTCAATGGGGAAGCATAAGGCAATGGTTGTAGGATGTCTGTTGGGTGCGTTTCAGGGGTCGGGCGGAAGGGTGAAGCCAACCAACGTCTCTCGGCATGGAAACGTACACTCATGATGCCTGGAAAGCGAGGCGTGTATTAAAAATCGTGTAGGTGAACAATAACGGTTCAATTGAGGACTCCCAGTTAGCGCGGGAATGCGTCGAGCAGGAAACCTGTAGAGAAAGGAGGTTCACGCGCAAATGGCTTCTGTACGCGATACTGGAATGAAGAAGATGAGAAAGAAAGCAATACAAAGGAGGAGGATGGAAGTCTAAGATGGAGGTGGAATCAGCAGCGGCTGAATAGAAAATCTCAAAGAAGAAAGGATCTTGGGGTGTTTGGAAAGATGGCGGGCTGAGTGATCAGAGCTACGAGGAATCTGATCAGCTCGGGACGGAGTTGGGAGGGAAGGAAGCGGCATGTGAGGGAGCGAGCTGCAGCGAGAGGAACCCCCCCTGCGGCCATTATTTTACGAATATTCCATAGGGGAGCCTAAAGTGCCCCTCGGACCCTACTAGCACAGGCTTCGACCGGAAAGGTCTGGGCACCCTTTTTCCTACGCCCTCCCCAAAGAAGCGCCTCTAGGCCTCGCGGCCTTGCGGCTTTGCGCTGTGACCTGCAGCTTTGTCTGGTGGAGCAGAAAAGGTGCGAAACCTTCATCTTTCGACTGCGGCTGTGCCACTCCAACTGCTACCCGAACCATAACTCGTACAAGAATGCCTACACAAGAAACGTTCATCGTCGACAAGCACGATCATCACTGGATCGTCTCAAACGCAAGTCAGCGCTTGGCCCGTTCTACTTTGCCTATTCCGACCTCGTCCCCGCTAAGATAATTAGATGGATTATCGACACCACGAAGACCTGGTAACCACTCTGACAAACCATGGCTCGTTAGAAGCCTTCACCCAATCAAGCCCACACCAATCTTACTTTAGTATGGGGAACGTTTTGCTCCTTCACCAGTGTCGCCAATTACGCCTCAGGTATCGGAAAAAGAGACGGATTCGCTCTACGTGGGGTGGTCACATCAGATATTGTTTCAGCATTTGCCTGAGAGCCATAGCCATCCATGCCTACCACTCCTACCTATACTCGGAAGACTTGTGGTGATTGTGATTGTCGCCTTTGGGCCATGGTCATCTTTCGGCAGCCACCATTGAGATGCCGGAGTAAATCTCACATTGGCCCCCCAGTGATCCGTTGTGGCGTGAGATAGGCACCGACATTTTGATTCCAGCTGCCTGGAGCGAAAATCCCATCTCGAAAGGGACTTTGAAGACCCCAATCACGACTGGTCAATGACAAGCTCTCCGCCACAACCCCCACAAAGGTGCTAGAGCCTCGCCCCCCCGTCGATCCACAAGGGCTCCCAGGGGGCCGCAAGGCTGCGATATTAACGCCACTAGCATCGGCTGGCCCCAAAGCATCACCACCTCTTGGATTCATCACCTTCCCTCCATTCCTTCTCCGTGTAACCCAGACGGCGTTTGACATCTAGTACCGTTTTCTCGTCGCCTGTGTTCTTCCCGATATTGTCGGATAACTTGATTGCTGGTCTACCACCTGCCTTGGACAATTTGATGACGATGTTCATTGGTTTGGATTTCGTTCCAGGGTCCGACTTGTGCCTAAAATCGTTCGTGAAGAATGTCCCGACTCCAAAAGAAGGCTTGAACCCGCACGCTTCTGCCAGCTCTCGGTATTCGATGCATTTTTCCACGTTGAGAGAGTCTGAGAACACAATACTCTTGTGGTCCAGCCCGATTGACTTGTAGAAGTTATCAGCGCGTTTTATGTATACTTTTGGGTCGCCAGAGTCCTGTCTGATGCCCGCAAAGACTTCAGCATAGGAAGGCTGATGATTTGCGGTGTGGTTCTCTTCGGTATACCCGGTCGAGTCATCCCGTGCCGCCGACGTGCGTGCTGGTACTCGTTTCTTGAAAGCCTTGAAGAAGTCGGGCGTGCCGAAGGTATCCGTGAGTGCAATGCCCAGAACCCCCTTGCCGAAGCAGTCAAGCCAATACCGGAGGCCGTTTTCGTTGGCATTTTCGTAGTCATTGGTCAGTGCGGCAATGCCCATGTACCACTCGTGGGCAACTGTTCCGACAGGGGGAATGCTATACTTCATCGCAAAGTACACATTGCTTGTGCCCGACAGCTTTCCAGGTCGGTCCTTTTCATGTGAGGCCCGGACTAGACCTTTAATCACGAGGTCTTGGGTGTGGAAGTCGCGTCTTCTCCGAGAGCCGAATTCGGACACAACGCAGCCTGCGCTGAACAACTGCACTCCCTTCTCATATGCCTGTTCCTCTTGTCCCTGGTGGTCCCAGTCCTTGTCGACGAACCTGAAATATGCTTCGCTCGTCAAGGCCAGGAGAGGGATTTCGTAGAGGATTGTCTCGACCCACAGGCCAGTGACGGTGATGTGGAGGTCACCGAACGTGCCATCGACGGGCGTGAACTCGAGATGCACTTGCTCGGCGGGTCGGAGGCGAAACCTCTGCAGATACTCCAAGTAGTCGGAGCCCAGGAAGGGACAATGTTTTCTCAAATATTCCAACTCTTGCTGTTCGAGCGTGATGTTCCCCAACTTGGTAATCTGTTCCCGCAGCCAGGCGACTGCCTCTTGGTCCAACCGCATCTGCGAGGTGCGGTTGGTGAACTTGTATTCCACGTCGACCGAAGGGAAGTACTTGAGGATCGCACATTGCATCGTCAGCTTGTACAGGTCAGTGTCGAGGAAAGAGAAGACGCCCTCAGGCCGCTTTGGTTCCATCTTGACAAAAGCACGAGACCGACCCTTACAGAGGCCACATCGGGGAGGGAGGGGAAGGGGAGGGGGGGATTTGGCAGAGGTCTGCCTGCGTGCGGACTTTCTAATATGACGCCGGGCCCCAAACCGAAGATGTCCGTAGCACAGGATGTCAGAAACCGACGATGGTACGGTGACAATAGTAATGTAAGCCTGATTGATACCAGGACTGCGTGGAGTTTTTTGTCACCCCCATGGGTGCCCAGGGACAGGACGCGGACTGTGACATGGTAATCGGTTGATGCCCCAGATAATGAGCCCGCCGTTGTTTAGCCGATCGCCGCATTCTCGCTGTTCCCCGCCATATGCCCGCGTTCCCCTCTTAAATCGTTCTTCCAAGTACCCACGGAACCACGTAACCACCGAGTACGCAGCCGTAACACTTACACTCTCCAACAACAATATTCCGAATCCGACAGAATCACAACGACGGCTCTTTTCGAGGTCTTTTTGGAACTGTATAATACATCTAAGAGTATGGGCGCATGCTGAACCCAATCTCCAGTGCGAAGCGTGCACGATGTATATTCTGCTGCTGTGAACTTCTCTGCGAACTCTAGTTGTCAGGAGCACAGCCGACCTGTACTGCTGGCTCCGGGTGTCACCGTTTCTGCAACTACCATTCAACAAACACCACAAGAGGAGGAAGCTGGGGCAGCCTTCACGCAATACCTCCTATTACCTCCACCCCCATCAATGGGTGAGGAACCTGCATTCTGACAGTTGAAACAACATTGTGAGGCTCTCGGGGATCAGAACAGTAAGCGATGGGCTGGGTAGGATAATCAATCTAGCCTGTTTTATCTCCCTAGAGGTCGTGTTGGGTGGCTGAGGAGCAGGGTTATTGAGCTTGAGTGTATGCAAACCTAGGCAAAGAAAAACAACTCAGACTTTTAGACGCTGCATGATTAGGAAGTATTTCTTTACCGCTCTCATAAGTCTGCCGCCCTCACGAGTTCTCTACCCTCATGAGTTCCCCTCTCTCACAAGAAACCTACTGAATCCCCAGCTATGCGCACAATGTCGCTAGTCGACCCGAAGTTCTCATACACAATAACGATACTCAGACATAGAAAGTCCTCCTGTGACGGCTATACCGTGGCCTTGAATGGTATCCCTGCCTGTTCCCGCCATTGCGAGGTTGAGGCATGCGCCGGTCCTCTTCTTTCTTGTATCATAGGTCCATCTAATCATGCTGGTATTCCAAAGAGTTGGGCGTTGTAATCGCACGCCTGACACGCTGGAGGGTCGCCTGCTTGAAGCATCCCCTATGGGAGATATAACAATCTTCGAGTCCCCCATCCTGTTCCTTCCACTCTCTTCAAACCGCTATCCAAACTCTTGTTCCTGACCTACCTGGTTCTTCGAGGCCCATTTCTCTCTCTGTGTTCCATCTTCAGCCGTTCTCGCTCCTGAATTCCGATCCGCCATCATGTCTTCAGCACCCAACGCAGGTCCTGCAGATGGCAGTATCACCCAAAAGAGCATCGCAGTCTCATCCACGGGAGTTGATGATTCTGACGCGGCTGGTGTGAGCTGCGCAGGTCAGTCCAAAGTACCTTTGTAATCCTAGGGATCAAAATCTGAAGTGCTTTAGATTCCTCTGCCACGGGCGTGTCCAGTCCACTTCTTCACTTTATCAACGCGCCGCCTCAGTGCGATCCATGGCATCCCAACCGGGCTGATCGAAAGCGCCTCAATCATCTTATTGCACAACTTGATGACATCCTGACAGCAATTGAGGCATTGGGAACCGAGCATTGATCTTTCTGTGTCGGTCATGCCATTCGCTTACAAGCTCTCACCACGGGCGACGCGGGAGCAACAGCTTCTTTCATTTTCTTCATGTCTGTGTTCTGAGGTTGCAGGATCACTACCCCGCACGGGGTCTCGCGTGCCACTCTTGACCATGATTATGGCTCATCTCTCCAAAATCGTGGTGTTGATGATTGATCTGGTGGACGGAGCAGTCCCGACACACTATTTGAGTCACACTGACACACCGGCAACCACATCAGCTTCTGGTGGTCCTCGCGTCATTACCATTGCGACACATTATAATTGTGAGATATGTAAGACAATGTCAGCACAATAATTTAGAGAGCAAGGAACAATTTTGAGGTGGTGTTGGATGTTCTTTAGGTCTGGCGTGGGAGATTGGGAGCCGCATTGAACATCATTGTTGGGCGCACTTTTACTTCATTGAAGCCCACACGTGGCCTACTACCTCCTCAATGACCGACTGACTAAATGAGTCTAGTCATTTGAAGCTTTCATTTCCTTATTACAACGAGCATTTTGTATGAAAATCAGCCACGTCTGACATTTTGTCTGACGGGAGATCGCCTAAAGAGGCAATTCCCGCATTTACTCCCAATCATACTGGCAATTCTTTCTTGTCCCTACAGCCTCATCCTCACCTACTCCCCAGCGTTACCACCACCTTCGACCCCGATACCCCAGCTCGCAACTTCTCAAGCGCCCCTTGAATGTGCTCAACACCGTGGCCGACCACATCCGACGGCGGGGCCGGTTTGATCAGACCCTGCTCGAGTGCCCGCGGTAAGAAATCGGCGTATATCGCTTTTCCAAGCGCCTTATCTTGCTGCAGAATAGACACGGCAAAGACTTGGGGAGATTAGCATGGAGCAAACCCAATGGCCAAATTTATACAATGAACTCACTGCCGTTCACCTGTACAGTTGCAGGGAGTTCCTCGATGGGAGGTAGTGCCACCGCAATCCTCCCTCCTCCGAGCTGGGCAAGGACCTGCGCGACGTTCAACTGTGTATCTCTCGTCGCAATAGCTAGAAAACCCAAGACGTCAAATTCAGTGTTTCTTGCCCATTCGACATGACTTTCAAGGTCTGTCGATTGTAGTGTTCAGTCCTTACCATCAAATGCTCCTCGACAGGTATACTTCTGCAATGCCGCCGTCAAGTCACCCACGATACCTAGACTAGAGCGGTCAAACACCTCGCTCGCCCCCAGGCTCTTGCACAGGTCAAAGTTCTGCGGGGACGCCGTTGCTATAACGCGATACTTTGCCGCCACGGCCAGCTGGATCGCGGCAGCCCCGATGCTCGAACTGCCTCCCCAGACGAGGATTGCCTCCTTCTCAGGGTGGCCTTTCTCCGCCGCGTCCACGGGAGACATTAAAGCCAATCTCTCCTGATGGAATAGGCCGATACTGGCAGTCGAAATGGCCAGCGGCAGAACACAGGCCTCTTCGTATTTCATCCCGTGCGGAATCACGCAACACCCCACCGTCGGGACGACCGTGTACTCCTGGAACCCGCCATGCCTGGCCTCATTGGTAGCCAGCCCGACCGCGTGGGCGAGCACTCTCTGGCCTTTCCGAAACTGCGTGACACCTTCGCCAACCTCGACAATGTCGCCAGAGACGTCCTGGCCGAGAATCCGGGGCAACGACCCCGCGGGGAAAGCGCCGTGCTGTATCTTCCAGTCCACGGGGTTCATGGCGACAGCTCGATTCTGGACGAGAACTTCGTTGGCACCAGGCTTGCCGACGTCCGCGGGCCCGACCTCGAGCGGCGATTTTACGTGACGGAACCATGCAGCGTGGTTTGCGGTTGCCATTGCGGGACCCGTTGTGTGCGTTGTTCTATCTATCTAGGAATTTCGACAAACTCAGCGAAACTTCGATCATCTGTGGAAGAAGTCACTCTAGATAGTCTGGATAAAAAGATATTGATGAATTTGTAATAAACATAAATGCGAGACAAGACCGGGTTATCCTATGATATGTACTCGGTAACATGCAAATGTTCTCCACAAATAAGGCCCGTTTGAATGTGTCGGCCTTACATCATCCATCATCCGTTGCCGATCATTCGTTGCCCGTCGTCGGAGACGAAGTCATTGACAACATGGAGAGTGGAATACTCAACCATAATGGCGGCACTTATGAGTGTAATCGACTGACCGGTAGTTGGGACAGCATCATGGTTCGCGAGCTCCAGAGAGGTATCGAGGGGCTTGATGTTGTGCTGATGGTACTGGAATTAAGACCACATTTTCTCCAAATGTTACAATGGCGTGCCATTGTCTGTAATCGAACTGAAAGCCTCTACATCCTGGCGACGACACCTCACCTGAATATTGTAGGTGGCAGGAACCTAATCCCAAAATCTGCCAGATTCAAGAGCTTTCAACCCCAAATCGGCCGCAACTTGCCCATCCAAGTTACTTTGGCTGTTGAATTGGAGGCGCTGAGGAAGGCCTACCTACACAACCGGCCTTGCATCAGTAGGAGGGTTGCTTTCGTCTGGCTTGTATTGAGTGCTGATCCAGTCATGCACTTGACTCGTCACATTACGTCCCTCTGCCATGCTAGCCCGTCCTCCACAATCTTCTTGTCCTGTTAAATGATCGAACGTTCGTCACGAAAGCCATGAAAAGTAAAGAATGCACAATGTACTTGGTATTCTTATGTTGGCAATACTGTCAAGAAAAGAACAGGATTGAGGGATCGTGGATTGGGTTGGTCCTCAAAACACTTGTTATGCCCCTCTCTTACCGACTTGCAGTCACCGGAACTGATAGCGCATTGACAGAATGAGGTAGTCGTGTACGAGTATTGCACAGCCACCACAGGCACAGATGCGCAGGGATTCTGATAGGAAACTGAGTCAACCCTCAAATTGCATCTTGTTGATCCACCATGTGATCAGCACCGCACTTGTGCTGTTCTTGGATAGCGAGCGGCGTCGGAGTATAGACTGCAGGTAGTGTTGCATCTGCCGTAGTCGGCGGTCAGTGGTCAGTGGCCAGAGAACGGACAGCGTAGAGGGGCACTCTCATCGACACAGTGTGCGGCCGTTGTACGAGTAGGAAACATAAAGGTCAAAGGGACCTTATTATGAGACGGATGCAGATGTAGCAGGTGGGAGGGCTGCTTGACGGAGAGAAGATTGTTGGACGATCAAGACAAGGGTGAGCGCCATGCAACTCCACCAATTGGCCCAGTGGAATCTGGGCGTTGCCCCTTTTACCGGATTGGTTCAACGACGCGTTTCATCTTTCCTGCCACCATCCCTTCTCTCTTCTCTCATACTCCGTTGGTGCCCTTCTTCGTACAGCTAGAGAGGCTCTGATAGACCCTCTCTCGCGTCCTCTCACTCAACCTCTCCTTCTCCTCCTCTTCGAGCCACACCGTTTGTGTCGCCCGTCGCCGCTCTTTTGCTCTTCAGTCTCTCTTTTGCAAACTCGTCGTCGCGCTGTGCTGCGACGCGTCCTCACATTCATTTACCATTTAAATTGTGTTTTGCATACAAGTACGGGAAGTCCGAGCTTCACGGACCCTCCTGCGACACTCACCTGTCACGAGCAAGACCCGGAGTCAACCACCCAAAGCCCTTGAGCAAGACCTGTCTCTGCTCTGTTTTGGCCTTTGTTCTCTAAAAGGTCCATACAGACAATAGAGCTATCTGAAGCCATGCACTCCTTCAGGACGACATCCGTCGCCCTCCTCTCCCTCTTCACCACCACCCTCGCCCAGACCTTCACATCATGCAATCCCTTGGAGCGGACCGATTGCCCGCCCAACACTGCGCTGGGCGTCGGCAATTACTCGATTGATTTCACTCAGAATACAATGTCAGACAAAGTTTGGAATGTCACGGCTGGCGGAATCGATTATGGAGATGACGGTGCCGAGTTCACAATCAAACAGCGTGGCCAGTCGCCGACGGTCCAGACAAACTTCTTTCTGTTCTTCGGTCAGGTCGAGGTTATCATGAAAGTCGCCAAGGGTCAAGGCATAGTCTCTTCAGTTGTTTTGCAATCGATGGATCTCGACGAGGTGGACTGGGAATTTATCGGAGGCAACAACTCATTTGTTGAAACTAACTTTTTCAGCAAAGGAAATCAGACTGACTACGGCAATGCCATCTGGTATCCCATCAATGACCCCCAAAATGAATGGCACAATTACACATTGGATTGGTCGAAGGAGAAGCTTGACTGGATCGTAGACGGAAACATCATTCGCACTTTGACATATGAAGAAGCTAATGGCGGCCTCAAATTTCCCCAGACTCCCTGCGATGTCAGACTCGGCATTTGGGCAGGTGGTGATCCCAAAATGCCCAAGGGGACTATTGAATGGGCAGGTGGCGAAACCGATTACGACGATGCTCCCTTCACCATGACTGTGAAATCTGTCAGAGTATCAGACGCCAGCAGAGGTACTCAGTATGTGTATGGCGACACCTCGGGAAGCTATCAGAGTATCAAGATCCTCAAGTACACATTGCCCCTCTCCTCCCACTTGGAAGCAAACATGGCTAATCTTCCTCCCAGTGACACTAAACCCATCCAACTCGACGGCGAAAACAGCCAATCAAGCACTCAATCCATAAAACAGAAGTGGAATGGCCTCTCCCAGCAGACCAAGTACATCATCATTGGCGTTGTCTGCGGCGTCGTCATCCTCTGCATCCTCATCTTTGCATTCTGCTGCATCCGCCAGCGCCGCGCCGGTAAGCACGAGAAACTGGTCGAGGACGCCAAATACGAAAAGATCACCTCTGAGGTCATGGCGTACCGGGCAGACATGTCGAGGATGCGAGCCGAGCAAAAGATGATGGGCACCAGTGTTCACGTCAGCCCTGTGACTCCCATGATGGGCAATGCAGGAGCTTCTGTGCAGAATTTTGGCAATGCGTCGCCCATGGTGGGTGGCGGACGAAGCCCGAACCCGGGTTACGGATACGCGAACAGCGGATATGCTAGGGGCTATCAGAAATATTGAGCATTGATGAAAGGTGATATCGTTGAAAAGGAGAAGACAGACCCCAGGGCTGGGATATCTGGAATTGAGGGAGTGAAGAGTACCTGCAGTTCAGTGTAAGATAATGAGATCAGCAAGATGAGTGGATAACCGGAGTTTTAACAGCAGCATTTTCATTTTGAGCTTTCGGCCGACGCCGGCTCCAATGTTGATTGTTTGTACAGCTCATGACTATTTCGTCTTGCTCATCATGTCACTTGTTCCACGGCGTTCGCATTTCAACGAGGCTTTCAAAGGCCCATGTTGGCCATATTGCGCTCTAGCTGCGCAGTCTCCTTGCCCGACTCCTTTGAGTCCTTGGTGTCTTTCTTCCCCAAGCGCATCATCTGGCTCAGCTTGGTCTTGACGCCTTTCCCGGCCGCATTGCCACTCCCGGTCGGTTCGTCAGGAACCACCATCCCGCCCTTCAACGTCACCAGCTTCACTTCTCCTGGCTTGACAACCCTGGCAATCATGGGTTGTGGGCGTGGTTTGGGCTTGGGCCCGCTGACTTTGACGTGCGACCGCATGTCGTCGGGCAGGTAGAAGCCAGTGTCGATGCATTGTCCCAGGAAGTTGATCTCGACCAGTTTCTTGGGGTCGAACCAGCGGAAGAATGGGCCAGCATCGACTGCGAAGTTCATCAGGGTGAGGTGGCTGATGGGGAGGTAGCGCATGTTTTCGAGAGGGAGGGTTTCGACCACGTCGATCTGAGCTTGTTTCATGGCTTGTTGGTCGAGGTACTCGCCATCACCGAATTCTTGGTGTAGGATGCCATTTCCGTGGAAGCCTAGATATTCGGCATCGACTTGTCGTTCAGCAGAGCCGTCGTAGGACCATGTCTCGTCGATCTTGCGGTATTTGTGCTTTGTATCTTCATTCATTTCCGGCTCGAGTGCCATTTCAAGGTGGAGCTTGGTGAGGTTCTTGTTCAGCCAACAAGTGGCCCAGATGATCGGTTGATAGGATCGCGTCATGCCGTTCAACTGGAGGTAGTGGAGGTTGTGGAACATCTGTAGAGGCTTGAGGTCCTTGAAAGGAAAGACGCCTTTTTGGTCGCCATCGCTGTTCTCCTCTTCTTCATCATCGTCGATCTCGTCCAACTTGATCGGCCAGAACAGGTCGAGATTGAGGATTGGGCGATCTTTATCCAGATGGCGCCAGAGCTGGGGACGGAAATGGACGATGGGTTTGTCAAAGCCGCCCACGTCGACACTAGCCCTTGGTGAGTCCATGGTAGATGTGGATGGTAGAGAGAAGGGTTGACATACAGAAGTTTGGCAAGATTAGAATCAGACTCAGTTTTGAAGGAAAATTTTGAAAAGTGTTGACCATGCCGCACCCCAGGAGAGGCTGCGGTACCAGCGCGTTTCCCTCCTGGAGACTCTGCCAGTTTGTCCAACCGTGAATGTGGGCTTCTGGTCGCCGCTGTGCCAAACGGGGTTTTTCTTGGGGTCATTTCCTTTGTCAGACTCTCCTTCGTCATGTTTGTCATTGGACCAGACTGTGGAAGCTCTTTCATAACATCTACTTGCCCTGGACCTCTGGACAGTGTATCAATAGCACTGATTGCGTAGGGAGAGGGCAGGGGTCGTGAGAAGTTGGGGGTGCGTGCAGAGGAAGGTGCCATGATGGGCGAAGCAGCAAACAACGAGGGTTGCAAAGAGAATGTCCACGGCTTTGATGCACGAAGAGCGAGCGAGACAGACAGACAGACATCGTGAGCCGCGCGACAGAATTTGAAGCCTTGAGCAATATTGAGAAGCGTTGAGCACCCAGTGCGACCGCTGAGGAGCGTTGCTCTTTGAAGCGCGGACTGCATCTACCTTTGGCAAGTCACCTTCCCAACCATCGACGAAACTGCCATCATGTCTCATTTCCTTTCAGAACAGTCAACATCCCCTTTTGTCGTACATCTGGGGTTGAGCTGGTGACCGTACGCATCTGGAGAGGCTCTCCATGGCCAACTCAACCACAACATTATTAAGAGGAGAGACGCTGGCAGGCAGGTTCCCTACTATTCAGTCCTGTATGCAAGAGACGCATTCCTGTGGAAAGCAACTTTCGGAAGCAACTTTCGCACATCTTGGATACAGAAGTGAAGTTGCTAGAGGAGGCAAAAGTGCGCAGTGCAAAAGGGGAGGGTTCACATGGTCTTATCTAATCTCTTGGCTCTCTTCATGACGCGCTTCCTTCCACAGCGTCCCGTTGACATGTCCTGTCGCACACACCTTCTTCCTAAGAAATGGAGCGCATGTTCGTTTGAGGCAGCTTATGATGCTTCCAAGAGGGACGGCCCCGATCCGCAGCAGCAGCTATGGCCCCCATCCGTCGCTACCTGCGGATTAGCAAACACTCCGTCCTTGAGTGCCGCATCTTCCTCGAGAACCCTGCCGATGAACCAAGATGGCTCTTGAACGAAAGAGACCCCGCACTTCCGCGGGTGTTTGAGGCTGTCAAACCCTACGTCCTGCCGAAACTACGGGAAGAGAATGAGCGGGCGCGTGGTAAGGGCAAAAAGAAGAAGAGTGTCAAAGACGTGGTTCAACAAGGTGAATGCACTGCTCTTTGATTGCGAGACATTTCTCCTGACAAGCGTTTTCAGATGACTTCGAAGTTTCGATTTTCCTCACTGAAATCAGGACGCGTCACTGCCTTCTTGTCAAGAATAAGACATTCAAGCAACAAGGTTTAATGAAGAGCAACAATGGCAACAAGCTCACCGGAGCGGACCGTGACACTGTCATGGTTCAGGATGAGAGCGACGAAGAGAACATCAATCTAGATGATATACCTGCTGCGGAAGATCAAGATCGGGAAGGGAGTTACGGCGAACCAAGTCATCCGTCTGCAGGTCGCGATCTCGACACTGGAGTAGATGACAAGAAGAAGCTAGGTTTCAACACAACGTATGAGGGATTCAGTATCTGGGGTTGGGTTCTATGCCTCTTTGTTGAGCGTAAAGGCGGTCCTAGCAAAAAAGGGTCTGGGATCCAGGGCGGTTCGCAGGCGCTCATGCAAGACTGGATTCAATCCACGCAGGAACAAAAGGACGATGATACGTGATGTCCGCTCCTAGAGAAATACGGAGCTTGGTTTACCGTTCTCAGGATGGAGTTCTGCGCAAGTAGCCCTGAGGAAAACTCGCGGCACAAGCGTTGGAGGATGTTTTGTAGGATACTACCGAGAAAGATAGCATGCCTCAAAAATTGGTTTCAGGAGATAGGAGTCTGGTGCCGGCTCTCAAAACCACGTTTTCATGTTTGGGCCAACTCCTGTGTCAAACGGTGTTTCCGCCAAAGATACCTCGTACCAACGGTAGCAGATGGAAGCAGCGTTGGCTGTGAAAAATCGATGTTCAATAATGCAGATGACACGGAGCTGCATTGTTTTAGCCTGCCAGCCCCCTCGCTTCGTGCAGCGTGTCGAACAATTCAGTAAATAATTCTAGTCGGCAACGAGACAATCTGGCTACATCATGCGGTCAAGCCATTCAGCCATGCCGGAGATTGAATGACTGAGTTCAGCTCGACTACCAAGTGTTCTGGACACGGCAGGCGACAAAAGGGCACGTTTCGCTTGTTCCAGAACCTCGAGCCCAATGTGATACGAGTCTGGAGCAGCTTTGGGACGATTTTGTGGTTCAAGGTTCCACTAGACTGCAGCTCGTGGCGCTCGCTCGCGCAATTTCCACGTGGTTGTGGCTGCCCCTTTTTCTCTCCTGAGAACAATCATCTGAACCCTGCATGATGCATGGGCTGGCGGCGTTTCGTTGCCTTTTTGTATCCATGCCCACGGCCAGACCCGTTCCTTCTCGTTCCAGGTCGTACATATACGAGGTGGTGGCGCATATTATTGAGACACAAGGGAAGAGTTGAACACGAGGCAGGATCAAATGCAGGATTGTTGCGGATCCAATGGCTCCCCATTATCAGCACAACAGCCCGTCAGCCTTACTGCGCAAGACGCACGGAGGAAACTATCGTGTAGGAGATGCATGCGACATGTCACATTGTAACCTCAGGTCAGGAGGCGCTAACTTGCTCACCTCCGAGGTGCAGAACCTCCTCCAGGCCGATGGCTGGTATACTACTTTTAGATACAAACGACGAGGCACGTGTCGCCCTATCCAGGGCCATGTCCGCTGATTATTAAGTGCAGCTTATCGTACACAGAATGAACTGGTGGCGCAATGGATATGGTTGACAATGCTCAAGTGGAGTGTCAGATTCTTTGCCTTTGCGGGATGGCCCGGCAGCTCTTTTGATCCTGCTGCGGTCAGATGTTTGGGAGGTTGCAACAATCCAGCAGTATGGCGACGAGTGGATGTCTTTCGCAGTGGTAACCGATCGTGAGAATGGGCAGGCTGGCAGGGCAGCGCAGGGCAGCGCAGGGAAATTGCCGCGGGGCTTGGGGCCAACCTCGTCTGATCTGAAATGGTGCGAGATGCTAGCGACGAAACGGAAGCTGCATGGAATCGAATGCGAGATTCGAGAAGCGAGCAAGCCCAAGGTCCCCAGCTGCCAGCTAGCCACGAAATCTCTCTCGAGCTACTCGGGTAACCAGTCCAAGTAGTACGAGTTCAGTAATTCGTAGCTGGAGGGGCTTGGGCATATCGCTACCACCAATGTGGATAGCTTCCCCACGCTTCGGACTGCGTGCGTGCGCCAGCAATACGCCCACGGATATTTCCAGAGGGGCGCACTGGGCGTCCTCCAAGTGTGCGCAAAGTCTCGAAACAGTAAGTGGTGGCAGCTGAAGCTGAAGGAAAACATTTTGATCCCCTTTGGCGGGGAGGGAGGCCAACAAGAGGCCGCGCCAGGTCATGTGCCAAACTGCGACCCAAGAATTGTCAACTGCGCCAGGAGCTGTGTTGGCCGGCCAGGGAACTACGGTTACGGTGACCGATCCGTTACCGACATGCTTTCGATCCTATCTTCTCTACAAGACTCTGGTGACTCGAATGCCCATCATGACGAAATCGATTGTGACACAAAGAACCAGTGGCACCACAAACAGACACAAGAACCATTTTCAACGCACAGTTTGTGCACAACAAAAACCTTGTACCCCGATTGCCACACTCAGGAGTCAACATGAAACACACTATCCCATACAAACTTTTTCCATTCTCAGCTGCAGGTGTTGTGTCGAAACTTGGGGGGTGGCAAACTGAATGAATGCCTTGTCGCCTGCTGATCCAGGGGTAAAAGAGAAGGATCTTCAGGAACCCGCTGACCACCACCGCCACCACCATCACCTACGGTCCAAAACCCCTCCAGCGATACGCAGTCCTCTCTGTTTAGAGCTCGAGGCTCGCTGAAGATCTGAACATCATCACATCACCCATCCCACCTTTGAAACAGACTGTTGAAGAGAAGCGCACTAAGAGGAGTCCTATGACTGCATAATCGACACAGTAGATGGCGCATGCAGAGGGGATTCGCGCTCGATAGGAAAAGTAGTCGTGGTCGGCTCTCACTGCTCAGTGCTCTCTGCACGAACTGCCCCAGGTATCCATGCAGGGTACCCAATCCACTAATTATGGATAGAATATGTCACTTTTGGAGAATCGGTGAGCTTGTTACATCCAATCCAAGCGCGCGCTTGGCCACGATTTGAAACAGGTCTTTCCGCGTGACAGGTCTGATCCGAGCGAACCCCAAAAAGGCCATTTTCGATCGCTTTAGAAAGAACCTGTACAAACGGCTGCAAGCTGAGCGTGGAAATGGAAGTTACCGGAAGAGGGCAGTGATGTGTATTCCTTGCAGAAGCCATGGCTCCATGGCTTTGTTGACGAATCAGGCTATGAGAATGAGCCTCCCTATCCGACAAAAGTCCGCCCTTCAGCATCCTTCAACGAACGTGCATCGGCTAAGGCAGGGCTGAAGGCACCAATTGCATCCCATCTGACAGGCACAAAGCGGGCATAGCACTGGTAGATCACAGGAATAGCACGACTTTCCAAGGTTTGTACGGATCACGGGGTCGACCGCTGACCACACTCCTTGCATGCTTTTTGGGGACCGCGATTCCGGATTTCTTGATGGAGGTACGGAAAAAACCATTTGTGGCACTGCCGGAGTGGACATACACACCATCATGGCATACGTTGAAGGCCACGTTGCGGGTTACCGCCAATGAGCACGATGCCGGCCACAAGGTGAAACCGGATGCTGGGAGGGAAAAATAACCCAGGTACCTACGTATGGCTACCCAACAGGACTTCGTACTCGGGCTAAAGGGCAACTCGGCACAGAAGGACACCCACATCGTTGGAAAACCAGTACGAGATGCTCAGAGCAACACCATCCCTTCCCATTTGGGGACATAGCGACGGCTCGTCAATGCCGGTTGCATTCTCTCTCCCGAAAGTTTGGTCCTCGAGTTGTACACCGCTATCTCTGAAGCAAGGCAAAAGTGGAACTGGGAAATAATTGTTATTAAACAAACGGACCTTGAAATATGCTGGGGAGCAACGTCCTCATCATCATGCCGAATTCCCTGCGTGGGCAAGGGAGACGGATGGGTCTCACAATTTGCTTGGTGATTTCCGGGCAAACACAAGCGGAGATAGCGACAACAATCTCCCCCTCCCCTTGCGAGGCGCGCCCGAGAAACCCCAGGCTGTTCCGGTCAGCTGGGTCCTTGTCTTTGTCAGTGTGCGCGCCTGAGTGACTTAGCGCCTGGGCCTAGTCAAGAAAACTGGAGGAGTCAATATACCCCTAGCCCGCTTCTGGACAGTGGATGCCAGGGGCAGCAAGGGGGAGAGCCGTCTCCTGAGGAGTCTCGAAATCTTGCGTGTCAAAATCTTGCAAACGAAAACATGCCACCACACCGGCAAGCCTCAAGCGGGCTCCACCTCAGAAGTAGACCGTCACACAGCCAAGTAGTCGCCAAAAAGTTGCATGGATGACTCTGGGTCAGCGTCACCATTTCTGGAACAATTCTCGGTGCTCCCGGGGGATGAGGCTGCCAGGGATCAGAAAAATAAATATCTGACTCGTATCCTCCCTCTTCCAAACGGTGTCTTTCTCAAATAAAACTCTATCATCTGCTCCTCGCCCCAAGCATCAACAGACCTGATCAACAGGCCAACAAGCACTCCAGAGAGCTTCTTATCACTACCGAATACCTTGGAACCAAATATTTCTCGACTATACCTAGTCGACGCTCAATCATCCCGACCATCACAATGCCTGCCGGATCTAAATATCCTCCCTGCCCGGGTCCTCCCCCAAACCGTCCTCTCCCAGCAATCCCCAAAAAGCATGCTGCATGAAACGAACGCTCTTCATCAGCATCATTTCAGTGTATTCGACTTCATTCAGGACAGGCTCTTGGAAAAGAATGTCGCTGCCTATGTCGCTGCCTGGGAACCTCGAGTCATCCTGCCTGCGTCCACATGTTAGGCAGCCACATGACATGCAGTTCCTCAATCTAATTCATGCATTCCAACTGGCGTTCTCCACCTTTTGAGGAGGTTCAACAACAGCATCCCTCCCATGTGGGAAGAAGCTCTTGGCACCATGGGACTCACTTGCGCATACAACGAAAGAGGACGTGCGTGAGTCGATGCGCTGGCAACTCCACCGGTCACAAGCACAACACTCTTGCATCAGCCAGGCAACTACACGCCCACGTTCTGCCCGCGCTTCCAGTTCTCCCAAGAACTGCTCCACCAGAGAAACCCAGAGCCCTGTCGTGCAGATACGAGGATGTTTTCAGGTCCTTTCAACCACCCACCAACGCCGAACCCCTAATATCTTGATTACACACCACTTTGTTTTCCCCACAACTTGTGCCCGATGATTTCAGCCTCAATTCTTCACCCTTGTTGTCTACCCCTCCTGATCTATCCGTCGGGCAGAAACAACTCGGGTGACTATTTACTATTACACAAGAACATGTACCAACACACCACACCCAGTCTGATATATTTGTACCAATAGTGGATACCCCAACTTTGACACATTCGTTTGCGGAGGGAAGACAGGCTCTCGCTTCGCCTTGTTGAGTGGCCCAAAAGGGTCCAGTGGCAGGCATTTGTACGTTATTTGAGTGGACATTAATGAGCCCCATGATGATGAGTTCTGGAAAAAGGACCGACTGGGTCACACAGCGATGGACCGTCTCCTTACCAGCTAGCATTTGCGAGTCTATCTAATGGATAATTATTTCTTGAGTTCATCCCTGTGAAGTCTGGGTGATGTATGCCGCCATATTGTACGCTAATCTGCAAATGTATCCATGCCGGAGCAGAAAGGAGCTGAAGGGAACTAGACAGGAACATCCCAAGACAGCCAATCAAGCCGCAATTGCGGTGATTTCTGAATACTCATCATCCTCAAGGAGCTTGCCAGCGTAGGGCCTGCGGTCTTACGAGTTACCAGCACATCTTACCTGCATGGGCGAACAGGGAGTAGGTTGTCTGGACGCCCGCAAAGGAGCTTGTAGCTTTGGAGCTTTGCTTTCGATAATTGGATAGAGCGGACCTTGCATCCGAAAGTAGCGGCCAGGAACGAGCCGGCGTGCTGTGAGCAGGGAGTGAGGGGCCGAGCATGTGTGTCTTATGACCTGGAGCTGTATGAGTTGGCAAAAGCTGTAAGACCTTCACCCCGCGTTTGTGATTCAGAAATAGCGACGTGCATGACTGGTGTGCACACAATGGAAAAGGATGACTGTGTGCGTTGGGTACTCAGCCACCAGCGAGCCTCTGGAAGGGAAAAGATAGCACATTCTGACACAGTAGATGCCCTCTCAGAGTTTAAGTAGTCACAAAATAGCCATGAGGTGGTCGCTAGATCGGTGAGGATAGGGATGTCAACACGAGGCATGCCTAAGGAGGTTACCCTTGAATCAATTATTAATGGTGAATCACTCTTGTTGATACCTAGTATTTCTTGTAGACTACCATGACTACCTAGGCACGGAGAAGATGAGAACTCAAGAACCCATATCTTTGTTACCCTGATCTCTTTTGTTGCTTATGTCTCCTCTCTCTTTCTCTCTCCCCCTTTTCCCCTGCGTTGTCACTGAATCCCTCATCACCCACCCAGTCTCCTCTTCGTGGACCTCGACGGCATCATCGGATGGAGCGGTGGATAGAGAGATGGTACGCTGGCTGTTGGCTCGTGGGGAATTGAGGAATAGCGCTGTAAGGCAAGCATTGTGGTTGGACCAAGCTGATCTGTTATCCTCCGCTAGGAGAAATCGAACCAATAAAACCAGGGGAAGAGAGTCCGCTGCAACGGGCCCAGTCCTTTTGGGGTGCTCATGACGAAATCGCAATGATCCAACAACCCCAACCACCTCGATTCTCAAGATTGGCAGCCCGAGATTCCCGTTGAGGCCCGTCCACTAACACCATCGTTTGCGCGTCCTTTTTCTTCGTCCGTTGGCGGGAGGCAGAAACTGGGAATGCCCATTGAATGCCATTCCCCCACAACCCAAACCACCATGGCTAAGCTGGCTGCCACTGCTGTCATCGCAGCCCGCAGCTCAGTCCGCGATCTCTCCATCCGTATTGGCGGCCCAGCTGCTCACTCTGATCGACCATCAATGACCATATCTCTGATTGAGCTTTTCTGTTCCTCTACTTTTTGCTGCTTCTGCTTTGCATAGACCTGCTCGTTGTCCCCCCCTCCCAAGGTTGTTTGTTGTCGTTCGTTGGCGTCCTTGAGAGGTTGAAGACGAGGTCGGTGGTGACTGCGCTTTTGTATATTTTTGTGACACTCGCTGCGCCATGTCCTCTCGTTTCCTGCCAGTCTTTGGCGCGCTCTTCCTCACACTCACTGCAGCTCAAAATACAGTCTCTCTTGCCATCACCGCCCAACCCACGTCGGGCGCCTCCGGAATCATCAGCCCCTCGTTTGCCGGCTTCGGTATCGAATCCTCTAATCTCTTCTCCTTCACTGGAGGCAGCGACGAGAATCAGCTCACCAAGAACTTGTTGGAAAACTTGGCAAACTACACGGGCACGCCACCACATCTGCGCATTGGAGGCAATACCCAGGATTATTTCATCTATGATGCCTCCCAAGACGACTATGCTTGGAAGCCTAACCCGGACTCCGTTGCGCCGGGAGCATACGCAAGCGATTCGATGATTATTGGGCCAAAGTTCTTTGAGGTGATCAATCGCTTCCCCAGTAATACACCGGTCACCTTTGGGTTGAACCTGGCCTACTCGGAATCCGACTACATTGAGCAAATTACCACAATGGCCACACAAGCTGTCAATCGGTTGGTCGACGTGAATCTTGTGTCGTTTGAGATCGGCAATGAGCCTGATCTGTATCTGGAAAATGGTTTCCGTACGGGCTCCTGGGGCGGCCAGGTCTACACCCAAGAGTGGTTGGATCGAGCAGATGCTGTTTGGGAACAAGTTCTTCGACCGAACAACCTCCCCAGCAATTTCTTTGAGCCGGGGGCCACGGCATCAACCATTGGAACTTCTTTCCAGGTCCAGGACTTGGACGAGTTTGGCATCACTGTCAAGGCCAATGGGTCGTCACATCCGTATATTGCCAGCTGGAATCAGCATGATTACTACTATTACATTGGGGTATCAACTTATCCACTGACAGCCTACGATTTTATGACCCTTTCCACGACCAATGACCAATTCGCTGCGTGGGTCACTCAAATCCAGCAAGCGCAAGCCACGGGTTATCCATATGCTTTGCGAGAGATGGGCGTTGTTGGTCCGATCGGTTTAAATGACATTACAGACGTCTTTGGAGCTGCGCTGTGGTCCCTCAATTTCTTCCTCTATGCAGCTACCCTCAATATCTCGTCGGTCCAGATGCATATGACCGACAACAGCAACGCTAGTGCGTGGCAGCCAATCCCGTACTATGGTAGTCAACCATTTGTGCGACCAAACTATTATGCGTTCGCTGCATTTGCCCAAACCATTGGACCCACGTGTCAGGCTCAAATCGGAGGGTATATCATTCAGAATCCTCCCGCTTCGTACGGCGGCCGCATCGCAGCCTACTCGGTCTATCAAGCCGGTACCTTGGCCTCGATCGTCTTGATCAATTCGAATCCTGCCAATGTCTCCGAGGCCAATAAGCCCAGTCTTACTTGGGACTTGTCCCTGCCAGAGAAGTTTGCGGGAGAGGAGCTGTACCTAGCGTACCTCACCAACGATGGAGCAGATGCGAAACATGGTACAACCTGGAACGGCATCAGCTACGAGAACAGCGGTGACGGCTTACCTACCAGGGTAAATGACACCACGGAAAGAATCAAAATTGGCAATGATGGGAGCGTCAGCATCGTGGTTCGGGATTCTCAAGCCGTTATTGCCAATATTGGATCTCCGATCGGCCAGCAGAAGCCCAATCCTAGCGCATGCTCTAAACTCGCAGCGAGTACGCCGGATGCTCGCCCTGTCACTACCCCCGTCGGTACAAGTGCGCCAGACGCGACATCTTCATCGGATAGCTCCTCGTCAACCCAGTCGGATAGTTCGACACAGTCGAACACAGCAACGAGAACAGGCAGCACTGCACGTGCAAGCACCACGAACGGAGTTGCGGGCCTTTCTACAATGATGCTGGCAACAATGGCTTCGGCATTTTTGAGTGGAGTCTATCTTGTTTGCCTATAATGTGAAGGTGGAATTCCAGTATATATGAGGACGTATCGGCATGTTACCGAGATAGACGGCGTTCATGAGACTCCGCCGTCGAAAGATTTATGATGAAAGATATTTGCACCAGTCAGGAGTCACAATGGGTAACGATTCCCGATGGTATTCAATCGACTGTGGATAATTCAGGTTGTTTTGGGGTGCAAGCGAGGCGGTTACAGCTATGTGGATGAGACTAGAATATCTGTTTGATAAATCTAATCCGTAATTATGATGAGGCCAAGATGCCATGAACTACTATGATGAGAAACTTGGAGCATACTGGCCGGCACGGCTGGGCAGTCATAACTAGTGAGGATGGATGCTTGATACTTGGACAACCTGGGTAGGAACACGAGCACATGTGGATGCCACGATGACTTTGTATTGGAGAGTAGCAGCTCTTTGATGAGCTTGGCTAGCACTGTCAATGGCATTGGCAATGGCAATAATGGCACTAAATATTAATTATGGCACTGCTGGCTGGGCCGACTTCGGCAATCATTATCACAGGAATCTCAGCTCCATTTCCCATCATCCAGCATCTTCTTCCCCAGCGTACTCGGTACAGTCTACATTACACGCGTATATACTTGGCAATCATGGCTCACCTAGACCCCTTTGGATGAGCTTGTTGGCATTTGCCAGCCCTCTCTTTATCCCTTCTCCCTCCCAACACCACCGCCCTCTGCCGCCATGGAGGTCCCGAGCCCCCGCCGACCTCACTACCAGATCGGGGCCTTGTCCAACTTCATTCCACTCAATGAAGATCACAGTGCCATGTCTACGCGCGGACAACGCCTGCCCAGCCTGATCCAGAACCGGTCAACCACCTCTCTGCTCACCCTCCAGCGCCGACAGGCGACGCGAAGGGACTCGGTCGCGAGCCACAGGTCGGATGAGGACGAGGAGCGCGGACCTTCTGAAAACCTCGATGCCATGGCTACCACGGCCAGGTGGCGGCCCAGCACGCCCTCGGAGACAGACCCACGAAGAATGAGCATGGGGCCCGAGATCCTCATGACGCCGCAGGTGCGCAGCATGCGACTGATCGGGCAGAGCAACCCCAGATACCACTGGCACCAGTATTTCAAGACGGAGGAGGAGTTGAAGAAGATGAAGAAACCCATCCGCAAATACTACGAGCGGAACAACTTCTTGGTCACCCAGTACCTTTACATTGACAAGTTGCTGGATTCGTCACTCCCCCACCATCTCATTCAAGAGTATAGCCATCCGCGGTCGAATGGCACCATGAATACCATCTGCGAAGAACCGCCTTCGGGAAACATGACTCCTGTGACCGCGGTGACTGCCACCAGCTCACCCATCGAGACCAAGTTGAAACGGACCCCGAAAAACTTGTACAAGCTTCCCAGCGAAGAGACACCGCTGTTGCTCGACGACGCCGAGGCGAACGCCGAGGCGGGTCTTCCGGAAATCAGCTTCGATGATATGGACGAGGGCGTGGACTCGAATGAGCGGATCGTGACAGTGGCAATCTACATCAACCTGATCGCCAACATCATCCTGCTGGCAGGGAAAATCGTGGTGATTGTTTTGACGTCGTCGCTCTCGGTGCTCGCATCTCTTGTCGACGCCGCCCTGGATTTTCTGTCCACCGCCATTGTCTGGACGACCACGAAACTCATCTCGCGACAGGATCAGTACGCATATCCCATTGGTCGGCGTCGATTGGAGCCCGTCGGCGTTCTTGTTTTCAGCGTCATCATGATCACCTCCTTCTTCCAGGTGGCCCTGGAGTGTTTCAATCGGCTGCTCTCGGGGGATCGCAGAGTCGTGGAGCTGGGTATCCCTGCCATCGTCATTATGCTGAGCACGGTCGCCATCAAGGGTTTCTGCTGGTTTTGGTGTCGATTGGTGAAGAACAGTTCTGTGCAAGCGCTCGCTCAAGATGCAGCCACGGACGTCGTCTTCAACATCTTCTCCATCATTTTTCCACTTGTGGGCTTTTACTTTCAGGTCTGGTGGCTTGATGCCCTGGGTGGTCTGTTTTTGTCCTTCTATGTCATATTCAACTGGACGCGAACGAGTGTCGAGCATGTGCGAAACCTCTGTGGTGTGTCGGCCACGGCCGATCAACGCAATGTCCTGCTGTATCTCGCCATGCGCTTTGCCAAGCCGATCCGCTACATCCAGGGCTTGCAGGCATACCACACGGGCGACAAGCTCAATGTGGAGGTCGACATTGTGCTTGATGAGAATATGAGTTTAAGGGACAGCCACGACCTGAGCGAGAGTCTGCAGTACGTGCTGGAGAGCGTGCCGGCGGTTGATCGCGCATTTGTGCACGCCGACTATGCGGATTGGAACTTGCCCAGCCATATGAATCAGCAAGGGTGAGGGGAGTAATTCAGGGAATGGGTTCAGAGGTGTGATGAGGCCAGGTTAGATGTATGTGTTATGTTTGTGAAGGGTTTGTGTATGGATATGGCAAAGAGGACAGGATTAAAATCGGAGATGGCCAGCCAGAGTTTTGTATCCGTTACCCGGAAGACTACATTCTGGGCTTACAGTACCATCTATCTATCTATACCCATATATGTAGTTTTGCTAGTTTTTGGCACTCAGATACCTGTAGTATGGCCCAATATGTGCTGGGAGTGTACAGTGTACCTGGGGTTTTATGTAGACGGTCCGATCACCATTTGAGGGGGCATGTGTCGATATGATATAATAATATAAATGTCGTTTGTTGGGGAATATCGGATATCCAACGCATGATTTCTGAACTTGATATGTCCCTCTCCCTTTATGCCCTTTATAGCTCTCTTTCTCTCTGTGGCTTCCCATCCCCTTCTATCTCTGGCTTCTTCTTCTTCTTCTTCTTCCTCTTCTTCCTCTTCCTCCCTCCCAACTCCATACCTCGTCCATCACGGTAGGGAATGTTCTCTGCCCCCACCCCCCCCCCCCCACCAACCCAC